TTTAAGACTCAGGCTCATATGTAATTGTATTTTCTTGCTGTCTTTGAAACTAGACACACGATGTGATTATTATTATTTTTTCTTATTAATATTATTTTTGTTGTCTTTGAAACTAGACACAAGATGTAATTATTTATATATATATATATGTTTATATTATGTTTTTAGGTTAATAAATGAAATATGGTGTTTCTTTGATTGAAGCTACTTTGGCTTTGACACATCAAAGCTTGGTGGCTGACAATAGTCGTCTATCATGTACATACAGGTCTGCTGAGTTGTTTGGCCATCAGAATATATAAATCACATCCACATGCAACTTTTTTGACTGTGAAACACTTGTCCCAAAAATTCACTACATATAATTCTGTAGCTGCTCAGGCAATATTGTTGAAGCTATTTCTTAGTAACAGAAAGGGTGTTACATGCAGTTGAGTTGATGAGATTTTAGTTGCTCGTGTCAAGACTGTGGTAACCCCAACTATTGGCCCGAAGTCCATGGCCAGCCACACAACTCAACTTTTGGAAAAAGCTGGATACAATTCCAAAAGACTTTCATACCTTACCCGTCTGGAAATGATTTCTCAGCCCAATCAGAAAGATTTTTTATTTTCACATAAGATGATTTCATATGAAATTTGAGTTTTTTTCATAGTTGCGGGGTGCGAGGTGTAGAGCTACCGATCCGCTGTTACCACTGTCCTGACACAAGCAACCATACACCAATATGTTGAATTAGTGTATATAGTCAATTTTTTGAATGCTTTTGTCAATCTGCAAAAAGTTACAGCATGTATTACATATGAATAATTTATCCTGAGAAGCAGATAACTGAGCAGAACTGTATGTACAGTCAATTTCATAAAGGTTGAAATCGAGGCGTTTTCAAAATCATGAGGTGGTCCGTGCGCAACCTGTGACAGGTATCAAAATTACCTGCGAGATCAAATAACATACAGTGTCAAAAGCTTTAACAACCCCAGGTTCTTTATTGTCTGGTGGCGCAGCGGTTCAAAGCCATGATTGCTTTGTGCAGCTTTGTCGGTGATTCCCGTGTTTGACTCGCTGTGATACTTTTTTTGGCACTGTTTTTGTCCAGAAGCAATGATGGAAGCAGATTCAAGCAAACCAAACCAGCGCAGTTTCTCCGTTCTTTTAGTTGATGACAACGAGCAAATCAAACAGGAAAAACATGTTAAAAAGTGTGATGACTTATAAAAACAACTGGGGCTCGAACCCAAAAATGTGCACCTGTGCAGTACGGTGGGGCCCATGTACAAGGCATTCATCCAGCTGCGCCAAAGCTCTCTATGATTTCATCTTGGCTATGCTGTACACATCATCATTTCTACATGCATGTTTGATACCTGTCACAGGTGGCGCACGGTCCACCTCTCAATTTTGAAAACGCCTCAATTTCAACCTTTATGAAATTGACTGTACACCATAACCACCTCTTCACTGAGCCTGCTACACATATGTAGTGTGGGTGTTATGGCTCAGGTGTGGAGTGATAGATCATCTTATGACAAATCATACTCCCAATCATTTTTTCCTGCCCACTTGGGGAAGTTGAATAAGTTTGCAGTGAATGGAAACGTAAGAATGGCTCAAGATGTGGAGGATCTGAATCAAGATTCATGTCTGGAAGAAGCAGGAATTTCATTGCTCAAGAGGTAATCACAAATGATTTTATTAGCAAAGATTTGTGGGATACAAAGTAGAATCCGGGCACATGTTGTTATGAGCTTATTATGAACTATACACATATGCTTGGACTGTAGATGTCTGTGCCTCCACATCTACTCATGACTAAGCGTCAAGATGATGCTTCTTCTCTATGTTGCAATCTTATCATCATCACACACACATCTTTGCTCCTGTCCCATGTCTCAGACCTCAACATGTGCCCGTCCTTGTGCCTGGAATTGTTTTGGCTGAAAATTTTGATTTTCTGGGAAAAAGTCCAGGCCTGGGAATCAATTTTACTACTAAAAAATTCTGGGCACAAGGCCAGGAACATTCCCGGATTCTACTTTGTATCCTGCAATTCTTCTTTGGGACAATTCTCCCCTGCTAAAACCCGCAACCTCTCCGGCCAGGAAGGCCACATCCGGTGTAAGTCCCTATGCAGGCTTTTGGTTTTACCCCCTGCAAGGGACTTTGTTAAGTTCAAGGAACATCATGCATTTATGGTACTCAAAGCAAGTATGTACATGTATGTACTGTTTGCTACATATGTGTACAGTAGATTTGAGTACTGTAATTATATGTAACAAAGAAAACCAATCTTGGAATCTTTAACTTGAAATGGACACCACTCTATCTTGGATCACTTTATCAGGGGTTTGACTCCCTCACAATGAATCAGGACCTGCATCATGAGTCAGGTTGTGGGTGCCGCACAGTAAATCCGCTTTGGCCGCGCCAAATTCCAGGCGCACCGTGGCATGCCTAGGCGTCAGAGAATTTGGGAAATCAGGGGTTGGTGCGCCTTTGCAAAAATCACACCAAATCACCAATATTGGAGTTGTTGACCACAGCAGCAGGACTTGTATACTGACTGAGAACTCCAAAGGCATCTCTTTCTCACTTTTAAATGGCAAAAGTGTTGTGGTAGATTGCTTCAGCAAATTGAAAATTAGAAAAAATATCTACAAAAAACATCTCAGTGCTCGACAATTATTTTTGAAAAAAAAACGCGCCCGGCATCAACGCAGCCACAGTTACTGTACTGGTAAAGTATTGTCAATACTAGTACAGTACCTGGCTTTTTGGATACTACAAATGAAGGTACTTGGTACAGTACCTTGCACCAGGTACAGTACTCCGTACAGTACCTACAATCTAGGTACCGTAAAAAATGCCCAGCAGTAAAGTAACTTTGTGTTCTGCTAGGTACTGTACTATACTGGTATCTCAGGTTTGCAGATAGGTACTGTACTTTAACGTACCTATGGCAGGTACTGCCCAGTATCTCACCGTACCTTGAGTTGGTACCTGGGACATTGGGTGTATTGAAAGGCTTAAGAAATGATAACTAAGTTGCTTATTTATATATAAATCATGGATTAGGTAATAAATATCAGTAGAGAGTGAAACTGAAAACAAAAATACTACTATAGTGCTGGGAGGAAAGGGGATTGATCAAGAAAATCAAAAATACAGGTACTGTTGACTACTGTACCAGTATAGTACCTATATTTTAGGTACTGGCAGGGCCGGTACCGGTATCGTACCTTCCGTGGCGGTACTGTACTTGGTACAGTACCTATACTAAAATTTCAAAAATATTTGCCCTCCAGTACAGTAGTGCCCATCTAGGTACAATACTGGCAGGTACTGTACCGGGAAAATCAGGTACTATACTGTACTTTACTGGTACTGGTACAGTAACTGTGGCTGCGTTGCCGGCATGCCTCAAAAATTATAAGCCCTCCCACAACCTGAATCATGAGGTTCAGTATCTTTTGTCAGGTTGTGGGTGTGCTCATTTTTGTAGGCGCGCCGGGCGTGTTCTCTTACAAAAAGAATCGCCGCAAAATGTTGCTTTTGTATTGACATTTATCCTATGTTTGTATTGCTAGAGCTGTCTACTTCAGCAGAATTGCCTTGTTAAGGAGAGAAAAGTTAAGAAATGCTGTCAATGCGAGTATCCAAGTCTCCAATATTGGTGACAGGACATCCAACTCCTACAATTTGGTGCAATTCTTGAAAAGGCGCGCCGACCCTTATTTTGTCGCTTTTGTGGACGCCGCGGCGCTCCCACAGAGCGCGCCGAAGGCGAGTTTTTTGCGCCGCCCCCACAACCTGAATCTTTTGGTTCTTGATTCGCGACTTTGAAATTTGAATCGTGAAATTGTGAATTGATTGCTTAGGGTACGTTTGGTAGCGTTTATTTTCAGCGTTTATTTTGAATAATAGCGATTATTTTTCAAAATAATCGCTGATGAAAAAAGATGTTTGGGACCACTTATGGTACCCCAAAATAAACTCCTTCCCCGTCCCAAAAGGAGTTTAAAACGAGACTTTGGATAAATGCCAAAAGGGAGTTTATCCGTGCAATAAACTCCTTTTTGGACTTAACAAAATTTCATCTTGAAAGACTTCGAGCCTCCTTGGTGTCATAACAGGCAAACCAGATGCTATTTCTTCGACTCGATCAACACCTTTAACACTACACCATCACACTCAACACTCACCACCCAATCTTCACTTCTACTTCTAGCTCTTAGCTGCCTTTCCTTCTGATTTTGTCTCACCGATCATTGCCTCAAATCTATTTTGGGTTTCTCAAACATGAATCTAGAACTGAAGTTAATTCTGATTCCTTTTGTGTAAAAAATTTCTCGTCTCTTGTGATGCACATATGAAAATTTGGAAACCAGTTTAGAAACAAATTATTGATTGTTCAATTTCTAGTCGATCATGCAATTTCCATCGATTTGTCAATTTCAATCGATCGCTCAGTTTCAATCAATCAGTCAAAACAATCAATTATTCAATCTTGATCAACCCTTGAACTTCAAATGATACACTAACAAATCACCCTTGGAAGATGAGAAACACAGACACTGGAGGAGCATGTTCAAATTGGATCGGTTGTTAAGTTTTGTTTAATGGTCCGATTCCAGTCAATCATTCCATTTTGCCGGTTTCTTTTCAATCGGTTGTTCAAATTTGACTTTGATTCAATGTGACTATGTTTCTTTCTGTGAGATGGAATGAATTGGGAGATTGAAGAGCGAGATAAAAGTTTATAAGATGGCCTAAGAGGTTTTTGTGGCAAAACGGAAGCGAAGTGATTGCGAGATTGTAAGTCTGGTTGGGATTTTCAACCAAACATGATTTTCTCAAATGTACCCAAAACGGAGTTTCTTTGAAAAAAACTCGCTTTGAACAATAAACTCATTTGCCCCAGGGCAATGTACCTGGGGTCAAACAGAGTTTACATTCTGTAATCGCAACCAAACGTACCCTTACATGTTGCATACAAGCCGATGACGTGCGCTAACTCAATCGATCGAATGAGTTTGATGTCTAGGAGGGGCCATCGTTTTGAAGGCAGATTTGACCAGTTCAACTTTCCAATTTTTATAAGTGAAGTGTCGAATTGAAGAAAATGTTGAGGATCTATAAACCGTTCAGTCGATTTAAACCGTTCGTTCGATCTCATCATCAATCAAATTTAAATTTAAATCAAGCTTTAGTATTCAAACTTCATTTCCATTCGACTTTACCCGATCGAAATCAAAATCGAAATCAAAATAACAATACCAATCGAATTGAACATACCAATCGAATTCAAACCGAAGAGGATTCAGCTCAAGCAACAACGTTATCATCGACTTATCATCAAACAATTAAAAATCACTTTGATCAATCAAAACAATTCATTAAACCATACCTTGCAATCTCTAGAATTCAATCACCGATAGGATCGATTTTATTATTTTTACCATGTGCAACTTCAATCACTTTAGCATCAACATCAATTTTATTACCACCAAGTCAATTGATATATCAATTAGGAATTTTCGGTTTAGGTGCATTTGTGATGAGAGGAGCAGGTTGTACAATCAATGATCTTTGGGATCGAAACATTGATTCAAAAGTCAAAAGAACTGAAAATAGACCATTACCTTCTGGTTCGATTACGATACCTAAAGCTATCACTTGGCTTGGATTACAACTTACTGTTGGTCTAGGGGTTTTGATTCAACTCAATCCTTATAGTATCCTTTTAGGTAGTTGTTCACTTCTTTTGGTCGTCATTTATCCTCTTATGAAACGTATTACTTATTGGCCTCAATTAGTACTTGGTACGTTTTTAATCCTATTCATAAGGTATCAGAGAAATTCGCATTGTATCATAAATCTAATCTAGTATGAAATTCTTTATTTATGATGTTTAGGATTTGCTTTCAATTGGGGTGCATTACTTGGTTCATCAGCCATCTTGGGTGCAACAGATTGGAAAGTAGCATTACCACTTTACTTCGGACATGTTGCTTGGACAATCATTTATGATACGATTTATGCACATCAAGATAAAGAATTTGACTTAAAAGTCGGAGTTAAATCAACTGCCATTTTATTTCATAAGAATACCAAATTGATTTTAACTGGATTTAGCCTTACAATGATTAGTTTGATCGGTTTAAGTGGTTATTTTAATGAAGTTGGATTATGGTTTTATTTGATTTCTTGTTTTGGTAGTTCTTTACATTTGTTAAATTTGATTTATAAACTTAATATTCATAATCCTACTTCTTGTTTAAATGCTTTTAATCTTTCTACCCTTACTGGTTTTTTGATTTGGTTTGGTTGTTTAGTGGATTATAGTATTAAATATTTATCAAATCAAGAAGAAGAAAAAGAAAAAGAAAAGAAAGAAGCACTAAAAGCTATAGAATCTTGATTTAAAGTTCTTCTTTAATGGTTGTATTAGATTTTATTTTTTGGGGTTTGTTTTGGCTTTCTTTGTTTGAAAATCGTTATTTTTGCTTGATTCTGGTAATTTCAAATGCACATTTAATAAAGAATCTTGATAATCTGCAAGTCATTTTTCTTTGTACTAGGAGCTAGCTTCTAGAAAAGAGAATAGGTGACATGGGCTAGGAAAACATGACATAGCTCATTCGAACGATTGGTAAGCATTCGCGTCGCGAATGATTGCTCGCTGTGCTCTTGACCATCTCCGGGAAAACTGTTATTCTCTTTACCTTCACGTGAAGATCCTCTTTACCATCTCGATGATCTATTTAACAGTGTCCCTCTCAAACTCCGTTTGTTCCCTTTCACTATGATCTTCTCAAAGTCATTACCCTCATCCTAAATATCATCATCACTACTTCGTGTTCACTGTATCCATAGTTTTGATTTCGTAAAATTCCTTAAATAATTTTTCGAACCCACCCTCCTCTCCCTCTTTAGTATGATATTTTTTAGGCCGCCCCATAGCGGACCTTATTGATGCCTTTGAGTCTTGCTTATGTACATAAAAACTATTCCTATAGTCCTTTTTATTCCATATTGCAATTTAGGGCTTCCTGCCCCGATTCAGGCTAAACTCTCTATCGTCAGTTCAGCTTGAATCACTTCCAGCACCAAAACCTATTCTATCATTTCAAACTTCAAAGTTGATTTCTAAAAGTTAAAATCTACCAGAATAACTTTTTGGAGAAGAAAAATCATCCTCTATTCTCCTCCCTGAAAGCTGTCCTGAATTCCCGATGTACCCGAATACAATTGCGTGATGCTAACCGCTTCCGTGCGTATATGTCATGGTTGTTTTCCCATGCTAACAATGGGATATTATAAATCTGATAGTACCGCCCACCGAAAATCGTCGTATCATTTGTGATGCTTGAGTTAAGATATGCTTGTATAGTAAACGCTTACAAAGGAAACTCACTGAATATCTATTATTTATCACCTTATGTTTCTTTTTCTTATCGAATTATTAACATAATTTTCCTCACGCTAAGACCCAAACCCAGATGTAGGAAGCCATGAGCTTACTCAAGGTTGTATACCTGAGCCCTTACAAGTTGGACAACGAACTTGACGTCGAGGGCGTCGAGTTGGGCTAGCGCTTTCAAGACGTGATGGGAGATTGTAATGCCGTGAAGAAGTCAAAGAAGTCAAAAGTGTGGCAAAATGTTAGCTTAACAAAGCCCTCTCTGCGCGGCCACGTCCGCGCGCCTCGCAGAGGGGCTTACGACTAATCGTCGATTTTTGGCGTGAACACTCCAAGCGTCAAGTGTCCCTATGTTGTTTTTTGCACTTTGACGCTTCCCTCACTAACGAACATCCCTTTACCCCGCAGGGAAAGTGGTTTGTAAATGCTTTCTACATGTCCTCATGGCCTAACACCATGGATACTCTGAGTGATGCGGCCACAAAAGAGGTTTGAAGATTTGCACTAATCCCGCCTGTACAGCGGGCTTTTGGGTTAATTTCTGACTTTCAGACATAAAGAATGCCTCGAAAACACTTAAAGTGTGAATACAAGCCGTGAGCTATGTTACTAGTGAGACATAAGGGCTTCACAATCAAGCTCAAAAAAAGCATGATGAAGCAGGTTTTCCCAGATGATGAATAGATGAAAATATGTAGACAATGTTGGTGAACCACTTTCCCTGCGGGGTGAAGTGGTGTTTGTTTGCGAGGGAAGCGTTGAAATGCAAAAAACAACATAAGGACACTTAACGCTTGGAGTGTTCACGCCAAAAATCGACGATTAGTCGTAAGCCCCTCTGCGAGGCGCGCGGACGTGGCCGCGCAGAGAGGGCTTTGTTAAGCTAAGGCAAAATGAGGTTTACATACAGTCGTTCTCAGAAATGTTGGAAAAATCCAACATTTCGAGCTGAGGTCGTGGTCCCGAGGAGGCGACTTTTTCATGACATGTGTCACGGAAAAGTCATGGCAGCTGTCGAGTGGAGATCAGTGTCCCTTTCACCAACCTCAACTCCCTTGTGTCCTCTCCATGCCATCCTTCCTCTGATCCTCAGCTCGTGTTACAACCCCTTAACCATGAAATCGTATGTTTTCACCGTTTTTCTGAAGACATTGGTCCGTTAGCCTGGCCATTGGCAAGATAGTAGTCTGGTCATCGAGGTATGATGGAAAGTAATCGAATTTTCATCTTGAGATACCTGTCAAAATCAAAGTTTTTGTCAGTGTTTGTATCTGCGTGTCACTGCTCAGCGCACGGACCCCGAGCTCAGCTCGAGATTTTGCAATTTTCCAACATTTCTGAGAACGACTGTATAAGGTTTGTATCACAATTCTTTAGGCTGAGATCGAGCAATAATCTCTCCTCGAGTGAAGATATAAATTAACAGCATCTCTTTGAATTCTTCTGCTCAATCAAATCACAGTCTCATTAAAGTTCATCTCCGATATCGATCTCCTGCTTTATCGTCATCACCCAATCTAACACCTAAGCCTACATTGATTACTTCCGCTAAATGCAAATCTTTACCATCATCTTTGTGTTCGCCATCTCTTTGGCCGCTGTTCAGGCAGCCCCACGCAATGTCTACGAGAATGAAGCTTATCATAAGTTGTTGGCGAAATGCGGAAAAGCCGGAAGTAAATGCGCTCATTAAAGTGTAGGTTTGTTTTGTTAAAAAAGGCCGAGGTTTCTTACGAAAACGTACTCATCGTAACTTGTTTTTACTGTCCCGAATAGCTCCTCGGTTACCTTGAATGATTGATCTGCACGGTTTCATAGCAAGGTGGTCGCAACAATTCAGCTGGAAGCAATGTTACTTGGCTCTATACTTCAAGATAACCTTCATTCACCAGATACACAATCGTTCTACATTTTTTGTCAATTCAGTTTACAACAAATCTTATAAGTTTCGCTCTTTGACATTGAGATCTTGTTTGATGTTTTCAACTTATTGAGCCTTTAGAACTGTTTACTTTCTCTATTTCTCACATTCATTTTAGCTGTTTACAAGTTTTTGGAGTCTCAATTAAATTGTTGTATGGTTTCTCAACATTCTTTTTTTCTCAATCTTAGATAAATGTTGATTCCATCATCAAGCAAAATCATCTTCCTCTCAAGGAAAATCATCTAGTTCTTTTGTGTAGTTGATCTTCACTTTTTCACATTCACTTGTCCTTCTTTTCTCTCAAGACCTGATAGATCCGTTTTGATTATCATTCCTGGCTACCTGTAGTTCTTCGACCATGAAGATTTGTGTGATCCCTGTATCGCTAATGATATCAATCTTGATAGATGGAAGCTTAGGCGTGTTTTTTGGATGTCGGATTTGAGTGCAACCAAACCTGAGATGTGTCAGTTACCATGAGATTTTCTCAACAACTTTTACTATTGGCCTAGCTCGAGTAACAAGCGTTCAATTTTGTTCCGACAAAGGATGGTTTGCAATTGCTCCTATCACATGGAACTCGGGGGTCAAATGGGGAATTTTGAGGTTTGGTCGCGCATGTTGGGATGAACTTGCGATTTCTCATCATTCCAAAATCGAACTTCATTTTTGAAAGTTGAAATACACCGGAAAAGGGTTTTAGGAAAGACAAAAGTTAGAAAGAATCAACAAAGAAATCTCAATCATCTCATGCCTTGTACAACCATGACTTATCTACATTCAGAAGATGCATAAAACCCTATTCTTATTCTTTTTCTTTCCAAAAAAATAAACCATATATCTCGTTACTTTCTTCAGATCATTCGAATGACTTTGGTGAATTGAGATTTGTTCTACAATATATTCTAGGTAGGATTACATCTTCGGTGGTTCGGCTTCTTTATTCATTTTTGAAAACAACAACAATAACGGAGTTTCATATATCTCAATGTGATAGGTCATGGCTGTACAACGAATAAAAAGATCAATTTTTACTTTTTTGTCAATTCTTTCCTTCAACTCTTGTTTTCTCCCTGAGTATTTCAAATAATGAGAATATTAATCAAGTTGATCGATTTGGTTAATGATGATGATTTGATAGGTAAAATGAGCTTGAGGGTTAAGTTCTTTAGGTTGAATATCTTTCTCGGTTTGTCGACTTAACCCATACCAGCCCATTCGAGACTGAGATAATCGATCGAACCAGTTTCTGAATCCCAACAAGCTAAGAGATGTGCCTTTTTAACAGCAGTGGCAAGTCGACCGAATGCAACCAAATCAATAGGATTGATAGAAGTACTAGGTGATTCTATAACAGTACAAGCAAAATGTGAATGAAATCGAAGTGTATCACCTAACAAAACCCGAATATCAAGAATTAGTCATTGGTTTATCTCAAAAGACTTGAGGATCATAGAAATGATAAAAAACGAAAAGGAAGAAAAAAGTTACCAACCAGGATAAACTAGAAAATCACAACCAAATTTAAACCCGATTCCCATATACATTCCTTCTTTCCAAAGCGCCTTGAAAACTTCACAGCGAGCACGTTGATGATCGGTATTAGGATAAGTCCAAAGTCCAACTTCACGAGCAGATTGAAGATCGGTATAAGTACTGGTCGATGGTTCATAGCAAGGAGAGTTTGATTTCAGTGGTACGGGTATATAATAATTGACCTTATTAAGATCTACTTTGGTTTCTTTCTTGGTTTTCAGGTTTGATTCTACTTCAGCTTCTGGATTGAATAATTCATCTTGAATTGAAGATTTAGTTGAATTTTTGGCCTTTCTTAGTGTAGCTGCACGAGCGATATCTTCACTATAAAGAGCTTCCATTTCTGATTTTCGTTTAGTTTCTAGTTTGATGACTTCTTGACGTTCTTTAAATATTTCAACATCTCGTTTTTGTTGATACGTTTTGCTTTCCTCTAGTGTTGGTCTTCGATGACTATTACGTTCATCTACCAATACTGAAAGGCCTGTGACAGAGTTTTTATAATCCAAAGGTAAGTGGCGATCGATAGTCTTTGAAGATTATAAAATTTGAGATACATACCTAATTCTACTAATAAGACTACTTCCTCGGGTAAAAGTTGTAAAGGCAAACCAAGAAATACATTTTGTTGTGCAAGTTGTGGTAAAGTACCGGTTAGCATACCACAGATATGATGATCTACTCTCAATTGAGCGATATCTATGAAAAACAGACCAATGGAAAACACATGAAGATTAGAATAATGTTGATTTTAGAAAAGGTATGAAATTAGATAATTAGAGAACGTTACCATCTATATTCCAAATGTAACCCTTTCCATTTGAGACCGAGATCGGAACTGGTTGGTGGTTTTTTGATAAAGTTAAAAGTGGTTTAGGTATTAGTTGTGGCATGATTAGTGGAAGACCACCAAGAATGAAGGGAAATGTTGAGAAATGAAAAATGAAAATTGGTTACGCTTCGAAATGTGTGTACAAATTTGAAACCTATTCGGATTTGTTTCTCGAGAGTTGTTTGAAACGGATAATTTGTACATGTACTGTGAAGTCCGAGAATTCCGATTTGTGTTCTAGCTAGAGTCCTCTAATAGCCTCTAATGATCAACTGCTATCTTTGTCCGCCGGATGAAACTGCGCACGTCTAGAGTATTGAACTGGCAAAATGGACCACCACGTACTGAAGTCAACCTTCATCAAATTCCTTGACTCCCGAGTTCAAGATGATAATAAGAACGGGGAGGCGCATACATATCCCAGTTGCACCGAGCTTTTAATACTGTGATCACATCGAGGTGTGAAGAAGTGAGACACGCGTTCATGACTTTCACCTCCTTCACCGCGGCCATGGTCTTGCTTAGCAAATTCCGCCTTTCTTTCGTTAACTAGAATCATATCGACCACATGGATCACTGATCTCTGGCTGGCCGGTAGATATGTTAGAGCCAAACACATCCACTGTACTTCAGATATTCGTTTCAGTCGATTTCCTTACACGTATGGAATTGTGGATGATTGCGGGACTAACTACGTATTTCTTTACATTTTTCCAGAACATCATACGATACATGCTTCGTCGAAGTCCGGATAATGAAATACCAGGATGATTGCGTACTTGCTGCTGGCAGCTCACTCAACACCTCGACAGCGCATCCCTATAGCCCACCTAGGAACGTTATTCGCATTCCAATCCGATTTCTTGTCGGCTTTAGCTTTGTGTCCCCTGAGCTTCCATATAGCAGCATTTGTGGTCACACAGTCTAAGGTGTTTCAAGTTTTAGTCAAACTCGCCTGTAATAAGAGGCCATACCAGCTTCGCATCTGGGGCCCCCTCCTTGAGACTCTCTTTATCGAAAACTTGTGCTTGCTTTCCCTGCAGTTTTTTTGTCCGCAGTTCGTATACCCATCTGCTTGACAAGTGGGAACCATCCACCTCGGATCAAGTGAAGCTTAAAACACCTCCCATCGTGATCTCGCGGTCCCTTTCTTTCGTTTATTAGACTTTGTTGGTCTCTGAACAGCTTCAAACTTGGACATCGACGGTCCGCAAGAAGCAAGTCTTAAAAATTATTGAGACCTGGAAGAGCTCACTCTAGAACATCCACGTTCCGTCACTCGTTCTTCGATAAACCGATTTAGCAGCATCATCTTCAAGGTCTGCCAAGATTCACATTTTTCTTTGTCTCGCTGCTATTTTCCGAAGGGTGAACAAGATTATTTACACTCAGCTCCCAGATTCGGTTTTTGGGCTTCATCATACCGTGGAGCTATGCATCCAATGATGAGTCAAGTCTTGAGAAAGATGACTCGGGAGCGGAGACAGTTTGATCAAGCTGTTGCGCCACCACCTTCAGACACCTCTCACAACAAAACCACGAACTCAGCAACTGCAACGTGAGTCAAACAACCCATCCTTGTGCTGCAGATTTTCCGGTGGCTTGCGTGCAAGTAATGAATCAATGAAGCAGCCAATCACTGACGATACCTTGAAAAAATGACCTTATTATCACAGCAAAAATGCTGGCAGCCTGACGAATGAGCAACGATCAACCAATGAGACACGAAAGTCATCAGAACAGGTTTCCTCAAGTCACCCCTCTCGTACTTCACACATATCCCAGTCTCAATCCACACCTAGCAACAGGACAGCTTCCAGAGATCAAACTAATTCCAAAGATGAATCCTCGTCCACGAACCACACTCAATCGAAAGATTCGAGGATTCTTAGCGGCCAGATCGACTCCAAAAATCAAACTACAACTGATGACACCACAGGAAATTTTACGACGAAGAATTCATCAATAGTGACACCTACCAGCGATTTGAACTCCAACCACTCACAGTCTCTATCAAATTCTTCAGTGACCGAGTCTATGGCGATACTTCGAGATCAAACGCACTCAGATGGACTACATCCTGTCCCCAACATCACATCCTCCACTGGCGGATTTCAAACCCAATCAGAAACAAGTCCGATTGAATCTCATCAAAAAACGTCGGCAGGTGCGATTTGTGGAATTGTATTTGGAATTCTGCTAGGTATCATCTTGCTAGGACTCTTGAGTTTCCTTCCAAGGTGGTACAAGAGTAAATATGGTTACCGCCGTGGAATTCGACGTCACATCAGAAACCAAAGCTCAACCGATAGTAATCGAGCTGTTCGCGACAGAACTTCGTTCACTGCTCAGTTCGGGGCTCATGATCCTTTCGCAGGGCCACCATCAACCTCCATCAGAAAATTAGACGCTTTTCCCCGAAGTGACACTGTTGGTTCTTTCAATCTAGGTAAAACCTTAAGTCGAAGTCCAAACTATTTAATACCAGGCCGACCCGATCTTAAGCCATCAATCTCGCCACCCATGATCGAGGATCCACTGCCTATTATGCATCGCTCTCTATCAAGTCATTCAAACGGAATGCCAGTTTCTTGTATGTCAGCTGTAGTCAAGAGGATGTCGAGTACCATTAGAAGCCCTTCCTCTCGGACTAATTTCCCGACCAAGAGAGAATCATGGACCAGAGATCCTTATCACCGACGCGGGAGCATCCTTTCCATAAGAAATCCAGACATTCATGAAGATCAAATCACGGATCAAGATCATGAGGAACAGAAAAAACGGTTTGAGATACCAAAGCTACATACTTCACCTTCATCCGATTTACACTATCAAGATCTTCCTGTCGGATCTACTCTCCATAGTCAGGAGCACATTGCTTCACGGCCTGGTTTCCAGTATCTCCATCCAGAAGTTCCGAATCGACTGAGTCCATGGGCTATGCATAGTCTCAGTAATGAATCATCTTCGTACGCTCAAGATTCGACTCCAATCGATATAGATGAAGGCGAGGCAGTATTTTGCAATTCTGATCTCATGACGAGCACACAAGCAGCGATTGACGCGCACCTTAGTTATCTCTCTAAATCATCTCGATATTCACAGGATAGCGAAGTGAGGGAAAGATTAGAGGTTGAATCTCCTACGGATCCAGCTGTACGATCTGTTACACCAAACTCATTGGTGTTTGTATCTTTTGGTGCTGGTCGTCATTCAAGATATTCGGAAAGAAGTCGTATGTCTTTCGATACGGGTGAAATCTAAAGAACTCAGATCAGAATACATACTGCATGTTCACTAAATACAAGGAATAGATATTATTTTTTCGTTTGATCATTTCTTTTCTTCGTCATTATATATAGCTGAATAAACCCAGCGCATTACGCTTATTACTTTCTTTTTTCGACATATGTGGCTCATGTACCAGAGCATAATAGTTTCTTGTCACTATCGTTACAAACTTTCTTTTGAAGAGTTCATTCATTTCATCACCAACTCTTGCTTAAATACACTAGGCATAAAAGCACCTTCAGATTCTGTGACATTCCAGGGCACCCACTGATTTTGTCTCCTGAGAGTTCCACCGTGTAAGAACTTGTGAATAACAATCAGCTTGGATGAAAGGTCGCCAGTTGTCCCTTGAAGTCGTGATAGTTTTATGTCTCAGTACAACAACTTGAAGATGACATTCCCGGGTTCTTTGATTCTTTATAGTTCACTCACAATCTAATGAACAATGAGATATTTTTAGAAGAGTCTAAGACAGGGATGAGTAGAGCTTGTCTGACAATTCCCAAATCCTGCAACCTCATCTGAAGATCCTGAAGATAATTGCATGACTCCAAATGTGAATAAAGGGTTCCATCTAATCCTGATTTCTAGGATTGATCTGATTGTTTTGGAGACAATATTCATTGCAAAGAACCGGGTTACTCCAGAGACTTAGACAACATGGATATTTCAGCACTAATCCACATGTAAAAGACTTACCTGGATAATCAAATGGCTTGGATCAAAGGTTGATAAAAGTTACCTTTTCAAAATCATAAAAGTGAAAAGTTTAATTTCACAAAATTCATTTTTAGTTGGATTGATTTCTATAAGCTGAAACAAATAATAGGGGGGTTCAAGTTGATATTTTTGTGCTAAATTCAGCAAAATGTAGTTGCTTGCATTGAGTGAAGTTCAATTTGGCTAAAAAGTGACTAAGATTTTATGCACTTTTGCCTCCCAGCCCTCCAGATAATTTTTTTTGGAAGATAAAATTGCTAGGAATGTGCTACTCAGGTGGGGCTTTCCAATAGTATTTTCAAAATTCAATTTTTAAACAACATTTTGATACATGGACAGTTGCATTTCAGGCATATTTCCAACTTCAATCCTGCTAATTTTAAGATTAGAATTTTTGTCAAACAGCCCTGCTCAATAGGTGGCTTGTTTTTTTGATCCATGAAAACAAGCACCTTACCAAGTTAAAGCAAGCATAATAGGGCAGTTCCAAGGAATTAATCTGAGGCTTTGTTTGGCCCCAAAGATTCCTTCGGATCAATTACTCAGATGCCGTGTCCAGGACTATTGTCATCCCAGGATACCTCGGATTTTCCATTCCAAGGCAACTTTGTTGGTGGTGCCAACTACTTCAAAGTCATTCCCAACTTCATGATACAAAAAACTCTTTCTGTGATGACAATCTGATCACTTCTCTGATCACTTCTCCTAAATGAAAATCTGAACAAGAGACCAAACACAAAATAAGCAGGACAAGAAACTTCAAAGATCATTTTGCAGTATTTAAAACAACAACAGGAGATAGGAAAAAAACGATATGATAGATATGAAAAAATGCGGTGTCATAAGCTTAATACTGAGCTGTCTCAATCAAAGCGTCCAAAATCCTGATCTGATCAGGTACCTATTTACAAAACCGCATCAGGTTGATCAGTCTCCAGTCTTTTTTTGCTTTGTGTCCATATCGAACAGCCAATGAACAAATGAGATATCACAAAATTACTCACATAGAGTTTTTCAAAAACCAATGGAAATGGAGTATCCCATCCGCACACCCTCTTCACCGGTGCTTCTAGCCTAAAAAACAAGATGCGTATTGGACTTCATCAGGAATGGTGATCCAACAAAAGCTCAGTGTCAAAACAATTCTTACTGACCTCGAGAAGCAATGTTCTTGGATCCGAGCCGCAACTTCAGCACCTATACCACCATTTCTCGCAGCCTCATGAACGATTACACATCTTCCAGTCTTCTTCACACTCTCAATAACTGTTTCTTGATCGAAAGGGATAACCGTCCGAAGATCAATAAGCTCGATCTTTAAATTCCTCAATTCTTTTGGTACAAGATCTTCAATTTCTTTAGGTGGTCGTTTCAACATAGCCATTGCCAGTTCGCAAGTGTAGATTGTTGAACCGTATGAGATTAAGGTGATGTCACTTCCTGATTCAAGAATGTCTGCCTTTCCTAGTGGTAATTCATAATCTCCTGATGGGACGTATTCAACTGATGATCTATAAAGGATTTTGGGTTCAAAAAATAAAACCGGATTCGGATCTCGGATCGATGAGAGTAATAAACCTTTAGCTTGACTCGGTGATCTGGGGATGACTACCTTTGTGAAATGACAAAGCATTGATATCAAGCGATCAGATTGCTTGTATAAAGACGTATTCAACTAGCTTCTTATCCCAGACTTACTTTTAATCCTGCTGCTTGTTGAAAATAACCTTCAGGGCTTTGAGAATGATATAGAGCACCATGACCCACAGCCATCGTAGGGGCTCTGATAGTCAAGTGACCACAATCATAATCTCCACCACTACGATACCTAAGCTTTGCAGCTTCATTGACGATCTGATCAAAAGCAGGAAAGATACTATCGAGGGCGATTGACATCAATCTTCGAACTAGGAGAGTCTAGATGGAGTAAGTAAGAGAAGGTGACTAACTAATCTCCAAATTGGATCTCTGCAATAGCTGTGTGACCCATGGCTGCTAAGCCGATTCCAAAACCTGCGATACCCTGTTCGCTAGTTGGTACATGAAACGTTGATTTGATAGATATGGAAAATGAAAAAGGGAGAAACCGATCTCAGAAAAGTCATTCCTAAAAATCTGTCCATTCATAACTAAAACTCACGTTAATGGCGTATTAAACACACGTTCTGGTCCGAACTCATCTGCCAATCCCATCGTACATCTATTGAGAACAAAAGGATGAGTGTTGAAAGTACAGAAAAGGGTCAAATCAAAACATTCAGCCATAATTAGAGTTCATGGTTTGAATCAGCTTTTTTTCTTTGTATCTCATGTAAAACTGAAAGAGGCGCAATTGAAATTTTGATTTTGTTGTACCTTACCTGAAGACGCCACCAAAAGCTACATCTTCACCAAAGACTACTGCTTTATCATCTTTTTGTAAAACGATCGACATAGCTTCACGTATAGCTTGAAACATACTGAAAAGTAATCATAAATTAAGTCAGTGGTACTTTTTCTTTGATTCTTTTCAGGTTTCTTTTTACATTTACTTCATCTTTGTAGGTTCTTGTGATACATCAAGGTTTCTTGGATCCATTTTATGTACATTTGAAGTAGGTAATAATTTTAATGAAGCTTCTGGTGTATGAAAAAGATGTTGAGATGTGAAAAAAGTTGGATAATCATCTTTTGGATTGGTTTGTTGTTGTGATTGGATTAATCTTCGGTTTAAATTCTGAGGACTTCTTTGTTGAATAAGATTTCTAAGACTCAAGATATTCTTTGTTCGATTCATTAGTGACATTTTTGAGGAACTATGATGGACGAGGAAGGTGAAGGTTGCGATAAGAGAGTAAGCTTTAACGGAGGAGAGGCATTTATGTAAGAGAGCGTGCGAGGTTAAGCATGACATCAGCGCGGTTCGGATGTCCACCCTGCCGATCCAACACGCCTGCCCGTCCCGGCAAGACATTTATGCCAAGAGGTTTGTATTGGCAGATCGGTCCCGGACCCAGTGGGGCGCAGGGGGCTGCATTCTGCTGCATTTCAATTCCAATGGCTCAAAGAATTCAATTCATTCTTAGCTCAAGTATAGTCAAGGATCCTCAAAGATCATGTACATTTATTTTAATTTTATTCCGATGCGCTTGAGTGATAAGCTTCTTCTTTTAATCCAATTACAATTTATCATCATGAACAGCGCGGTATGATCTTCTGAAGTACAGGCATCAATCTACATAGCTTTGTTTAGATAGATCAAGGCAATGGCAGTCCCAAAGTAACATTCTTTGAATTCAAGAAGTAAGCGTGCAACGACCGGCTCGTAAATACGGAGGCTTTTTAACCATTTTTGAGCAGCTCATATGTTGTAAAGGGTGTTCAGGGAGATTGTTCGATTACTTCAATCTTGAAGTTAGTTCCCGCAGCTTCGATTTGGCATGAGTCGGTAATCGAGTCGACGGTGATTCTCATTCCACCACTCATAATTTGGCATGAATTGGGAGTGGATAGTTTTCCAGGTGATTCGAATAAGGGCAAAGCTGGTTTTGATGAAGGGGTTGAGGCTAATTTGGAGGGCAAAGATGATGATGTTGGAAAGACCGAGGTGGATGAGTTGGATGAGATGGGGGGTGAGGCGAGTGAGGAGTCCGAGGGCTTCGTATCGTAAGAATAAGGCTCAAAGTGAGAGTATTTGTGCTTCTCTTCGAATGAAAGGGCAGTAGCCCAATCTGGTCGAACTCCGTCTGGAGAAAATTGACCCATCAGACCCTCTTTCATTTCATGACAGACAAAAGAAGAAGACTTTACCGCATGATCTCTTGGTACTCCGACAGTGATCACAAGCTCTTAATCGCTTTGTGTTCAACTTGTCATTTTTCAGGTCTTCCCAGGTGCACTCTTGATCAGTTTCGTAACATCTTGAACATGGGATAGGAACTTCAATGGTCATTTCGATGAATGGTTTAGACTTCTATGAGAATGAGACAAATAGAAAAGTTGAATCTTCAAGGAGAATGTGATAGAAAATTCAATATTAAAGGAGAGGTGAATGTTTAGGGAGCCACATCTTTTACAAAGCTATGTATTGGGATTAGGATATTTATATTGTTCTGATTATTTGAGACCTCGCGAGTAGGAAACGAGGACCCAAATATCAAGCTTCTGATATCGCTGAGCAAGATACACATGATCAATAATATATTTAAGCAATTTGATTGCTCAGGACTCAGCAATCATGAAAGTGTGATTGTATGTACTTTGCCGTGAGGCTGAATGGTGCAAAATTTTGGAACAACAAAGATTCAAGCATACACAAAACATTTGGATTTGTTCGGATACATAATGCTTGTGATCATACAAAGTGAATAAGTCATGGTTTCAAATTCTGCCATGAATCGGTGCCCGTTGAATGAGGTTGCATTCTGAAGGCACTCATGTCACACATATTACACGATAATGTGACAGGCCGTGATCACAACTTTCGCTCTGGTCCACTTTCACATCGCATCAACAAAGTAAAGTGTTCTCATCAAAACGACCTTACAATGGAAATACTTCAAAAGCTGGAACTACCTTTAATCGGTGGTGCTTTCCTCGCTGCTGCTTCTAGCTCATTACTGTACGATTACGGTCGTGTACTAGGCTGCTCAGGCGCCATCCACTCACTTCTCAGTGGTACTTATCAATCCAATAAATTAGCTCTTGTTCTTGGCCTTACGTTTGGTGGTAGTGGTATCAGGATCGGTTTACCCTTCTTGGAAAAGTCTTTATCGAGGTCTTTTTTTGATACCTCTGTTCTATTACATGCAAACCATTGGCAAGTTCTGTCGATTCTTGGTCTTTCTGGTTTGCTGGTCGGCGCTGGATCAAAGATTGGTTCGGGCTGCACGTCTGGTATGTTACTGGTTTGAATTTATCTTGTCTTCAATTGCTTAATCCAAAATATCCATAACCTACCCACTCTTTGTTGACCGTGATGGGTCGCTCGATTGTAGGTCATATGTTATGCGGAATGGCTCGTGGTAGCAAACGTAGCTGGGCAGCCACTATGGTCTTCTTTCCTGTCGCTATCTTGACCCATCGAATCATCAAACCTTTCCTATACGCTCTATTGCCTCAAAGCCATTCCATCAATCATGTCGCTTTCGAATCCAAGCTCGCACCACTCGCGATCTTCCTTCTAGGATCTCCTTATCTTCTTTACCACCTACTTAAACTTACGGCATCATCCAAACGATTCGAATTTCTTCGTACTGCTCTCCTTGGTGCTACTTTCGCATCTGGTTTAGCACTTTCGGGAATGACTCGACCATCAGTTGTATTGGGCTTCTTCGACTTTTTCTTACCATTTTGGGATCCTAGTCTATTGGGAGTTGCTCTCGCAGGTCTAGGAACCAATATCTTAGTATATCTAGCCGTAGTGAAACCTAAAGTTATCAAATGGAACAGATTGAAAGAAGAAATTTCGAAAGCTGATGATTTGACAATTGAAGGCTTAAGACAATCATTCCTCGTTCATGCTCCAAACAGCTGTGTACAATCTGAATGGCAATTACCTGAACTCTCGAACACTACAATCGATCGTAAATTGATTTTAGGAAGTGCACTTTTTGGAATGGGATGGGGGTAGGTTTGATTGTGCTCTGTTTTTTTGTTCTTGTTTTATTGGTTATGACTGATATGAGATTTGATTTGGATGAGGAACAGATTGGCAGGAATTTGTCCAGGACCTGGTTTAGTTTCATTAGGTGCTTATCCACTTTCACTTGGGATTTGGAGTTGGATTGCGGGATTTCTAGTGGCTGGAAAACTTGCTTCAGTTGAATCACGACTTCGAATGTAAATCTTATTTCGGTTATTCTTGAATATGATTGATGGAGAGAGATTTGTATAGGTTTAGCATATGAATAAGAAAGTTTGAAGGTCTTTTGTATTTTGTGATTTGTTTGATATGAATTTTGGAAACTTCTTCATCATACCACGTATCATATAACGTATATGAGTGCGGTCTTGTTCAAATGAGGGATCTGAAACAGACACCCAGCTGGTGGGTGGGTCACAGCTACCAATTGAGGCCACATCTCGGTCTAGCAGTCGAGCAAATCTGCCATTCTGCGCCTCATCATAATGTCAAACTCCCATACTCCCTCTAGTACAGACTGCACTACTTTGCATCAGTAGTGAAAACCAGCCCAATACCCAGAAGTCATCATGAAGTAGTCAACTTTGCAAATCATAATCCGTGGTGGGCAATTGGTTTGGCGCTGGCATTTGCTACGTGTTTCTCCTTTCAAGCCTGCAACACCTTCTAGCACTGCCAGCATAGATGCCTCGGGTTGAGAAATCCGAGGCATCATCGGAGGCAAATCCTCGGACAGACCTTGTCCGAGGTTTTCGCCCGAGGTATTTTTTTGCCCTGGAAATAACCTCGGATCAAAACCTCGGGAAGCTTCTGTCCGAGGTTTTGCATCCGAGGATACCTCGGATTACAAAATCCGAGGTAAATATGTTGGCGGTGTAGCATGAGATATAGGTGTAATGCAGCTGAACTGTGGTCATCTAGACTGATCTTCATATTCTGAATGAGAGTTGTGAGTTTCCCTTGTTTATGGGCTTCATTGCATATATCTGAAGCTGGTGATCACATTGCCAAGTCAGCATCCTTATGTTTAGCTTTGTCCTCTGGATAACACTCTTAGCATATACCACACCACTGTCAGTCAAGAGACTGTCACTATTGAGCCATCAACTCCCCTAAATCTGCATACAACAGTCTGGCCTTATTGAATTTTTATGTACTTAACTGGATACATGGTGTTGATGAATGATTTGTTGAACAGTGGTTGATATAGACAGTACAAGTGTGATTCTTGACAATAGGGGCTTCAAACAAGGGCCTGAGAGAGTTGGGACTAGGATGGAGGAGTTTCTTGATGAATTGGTCAGCTGAAGCAAATACAGTAGCATGCATAAAGCATGAAAAAATCTCAAAACCAAAATGACCTGCTGGTCCGTGCCCTCTGCAAAGTTTGGCAAAACCGGACCGCAAAAACTCGCCAAACTTTGGAAAAACATGCCAGAGCAACCACCGGATTCTTCGCATGGGTTCACGAAGGATCCTCCCAAAAACTTCCACCCCCCACCTCCAATCCAGATCTCATTCCCCCATCCAACCACCTTGCTCCTATCCTCATCCATTATCAACTTTTTTGCTCAAATGGGTTATCAATCCTACTCAGCGGATATCAAACTGCTGGCTGTCAAGATGGCCATGGATGATGTTGATCTCAAGACGATCAACCTGACCCTTTGAGCATCGATCTCCGCCACTTCCCTTTGGCGCTGGAGAAAGCTCTACGATCAAACACGCAAGGTTATCCGTGATCCTAACCAATACCTGCCTCGTGGCCGACCCCATCGACTGTCAGATCAACATCTTGCCGTACTTAACAAATTGGTTACCAACTGCCCCTCCATTTACCTCGATGAATTGCAAAAACAGCTTGAATGAATAATTGGCATACCTGTCTCCCAATCAACCATTGGCCGCGAGTTGCACAACCGCTTAGGACTCTCTCATCTTATCACTTGGGGTGTTCATGCTGCGCAGTCAAAGGAGGCTCGAACTGCTTATATGCTAAGAGTTGGTCGCATTCCACCCGAGTATATGGTCTTTATTGGTAAGTTGTTTTTATTTAAATAGCTTCTATGTCACTTCTCATCCTCATCGTTTCTAATCTTGGTTCGTATCTTTTTTTCATTTGGAAGATGAGTCTGGAGTTGTCGGGCGTGACTCTCTTTGAATGAAGAGCTGGGCCCCGACAGGCTCTCGCACGGTTCGCCAGAAGCGCCACACCGAGCAAGACCACTACACAATTCTCCCTGCCGTATGTGAGCGAGGAATCATCGCAGGAAGTGTCGTCAAAGCCCTGTGGAAAGAACACATGTTGAACTATTCCTTGCACGCAAACTAGTGAGTTTTGTTCAATCATGGGCCCTATCTGGGTCTGATTTCAATAACATTAGACATGCTAATGGCAGTGTTATGTCTGCCATTGTAGCTTCCTCGTATGAACCCCTACCCCGTGGTTAACTTGGTCCTGGTGATGGACAACGCCCGCATACACCACGGAGGACGAATGAAGCAGATGTGCAAGGATGCTGGTGTTATTTTAGTTTATTTACCCGCGTATTCACCCAACATGAACCCAATCAAGAATGCCTTCCACAGCATGAAGGCACAGTTACGGCGAGAAGAGCTTTGGTTTGACGTCCCTGATAAGGGCGATTATCTTCTTTTAACAGCCGCAAAAGTTATGACCCAGAGTTTATTACAACCACTGATTGCTTTTAGTGGCTATTCCACCGCTCATTATTGGGAATGATATAATGAAGAAGCTGCGGAATAAGTCACAAAAGAAATCTCATCGCTTTGTTCATGTTGCTCTCGTTTTCTTTGTTATTTATGAGTGTCCAGAAAGTTTCCTTAAAATATGTCCTTCAGAATACGTCACCTATGTTTTGAAAAGCTTGTTTTGAAAAGCTTGTGTGCATGCTTTTTACCTAGTTTGTCATTTGGAACAACGTGATAAAACGTCTTTAACCATTATCATTGGGATTAATCAATTGCACTTTTTGAACTGTGAGCTTTGCAAAAGCCTGTCTTTCCAAGCAGCTCTTTTGAGATCCACTTGAAAATTGAACCGAATACTTGATTTGATATGAACCAAAAACAAATCGTGCTCATTTATAAACAAGTTGTGCTCATTTAAGCACGACTATTTTTGTCCTGGTTTTTTTGATCAACCTGTAAAGGCGGTTGTCTCAAGATTGCAATCTGTTTTGAGTATTTTTGTAAAGATTCAAAACAACGGGAGAATTCCAAACATTTTTGGTAAAATTGTGTAGATAAAAACCAATGAATTCCACAAACTCTCAAAAGTGGGGTTTGGATTCTTTCAAAAGACCTCAAATTTTGAAGTTGATCAAAGTGGCTCTGTGCAATTGTCAAAGATTCATGAGACAGTTCATTTATTCTTTCATAGGAGTGGGGATGGAAAAATTCAAAAGCACACATTTTAGCTATAGCTAGACAATAAACGTGAAGGCGTACATATCTTGATGGGATGGACATTGGTTATCATGATCATAAGAATAGAGAAACTTGTGAATGGGGAGATGCTGGACACAAGACAAACTTCAAATCCACACAAACATAAAATTTGCATCAACACAGAATAAAGAGAGCAAACTAGTCAAGAACAATCTTAGTCGATGATTCACATTTTGGCGTGGTCTCCGTGGGCTTCAGCTGAGGCATCACAAGCAGCTCAGCGAGTCATGAGCTCTTCTAACTTGTTGACTTGGTAAGTGTAGTATTTGCGAGGTCAAGTCATTAACTCCATCACCACCCCGTATGGAATACCCCAACTAGCAATGGTTTGGGCGCTCAGCATGGATGGGAATAAAAAACGATGAAAGCTGGTGATTGAATGTTTGAAGAAGATCTGCACATAATCATCAATCTTGAGGTAATCAATTTCGCACCAGGTCAAGTACTGTTGCAACGTTGAATGGACTTTGATGTGTCGTAAAGTTTTGAAATCAACGCGGACCGTGGAGGATTGCATTTCCACATAGCTGCCAAACTCGAACTCAGAGGGGCGACAGTCCTCTTCAACTTTGAGTCTTTTGACCACTGAAGGCGTGGCCGTGAGAGGAAGGCGCTTGACCGGCTTGACATCAATCCAGAAAAATTCTTCCAATTCCGTAGGTGGGTCATCGATAGTCACATCCTTCGTACCCTTGACCTATCACAAGGAGACAGATTAGCAATGTTACAAATGGAATATAAGAATAAAAGGAAATAGATGACGTACCAATTCTCAAGCCCACAGGATCAAATGGTGGAAGGTTAATTCCATCTTCAAGGTCAAGTCCTTTCTGTTAAAAATACGCCATCCTTCAGCCTTGTTGTTTTTCAATGAGCCATGATGCTCTTGTAACACAGTTAGCCAGCGTGATTGAGGATCCACCGGAGTCGCATGAGCAAGGTCCGAGGCAGTGGTGCCAACATTATTGAGGGTGTTCTGTGCTCGCAATTGGGCTTGATTTTTCGTGAGTTCCTGCAAAAATAAACCAGGGACGATTAGTCCAGCTAGAAGGGAGAGGTTGGAGGTGAAGAGAAAAGTGGATTTTACTAATAAATGTACGTCATTGGCCTCTTGAGCACTGCGTGCTGGGTTCTCCATCATGATGACAAACCCAGCGGTCTTGCATGGAGCCCCCACAACCGATTGAAAGAAAGAGGTGACATCAACATCATTCTTGATGAGACGGTCTTGGTTTTTGGCCCAGGTGTCGTGGGCAGTGATAAATGCAAGAATCTTGACTTGTTTCATTGCATCAGCAGTTTGGAGAATAGCTGTGTTGCCTTTGGTCGGGTCATTATCGATTTCACTGGCCAAGTCAAATAATCATGTTTTCAAGCAAGCTAAGGAGGTTTCACGGACATCAAATGGTTTTTTGGTCGCAGGTATGGGAATGGTAGAATAGACCGGCTTGGCATTCTTCTTAGCAGGACCCTTGCTGATATCCGTGCCTTTGAGCAGGCATAAGGAATACGCAACGGTGAGCTGTTGCGTACTAGGAACTCAAGCACCTATTCCAATCAAAACTATACACAAGAACAATTGGTCAACTTGTGAGGGTGACAAAATCACGGAGGGAAGGGAAACAAACAAACCTGGTTTTTTATCAGACACAGGCACACGAGGGAAGGTTGACGAGATGATTTCGATGTCAGAACTCGCTGCAGGGCTGAGTTCTCGTTTTTGTGTTATCTTCCCAGAAGCACAGAATGTATCACCAGGTGAAAATGCAAACCTCAAATTCCATAAGCAATCTGTCTCTGGGACAGGGGCGACAGCGGGAGCAGCCAAGGCACTATGTCTACCGCTAAGGTGAGAGGTCAAGTGCACGAGTGAGACTGATGAAGGATGTTCAGGACATCAAAGTGAAAAATGAGCTCACCTTCGAGTGCTAGGGTAAGGAAGCACGCCAATGGGGGTGTCATCCATGTTGATTTGAGCTTGGGAAAGGTTTTGCATAATGAGTCAAGAGTAAACAAACCAAAAGGGGTCAAGTGTAGGCTGAAAGGAGACGATTTGATAATGATCTGATTGAAACGACGGATGTGTGGTGCGATGGATTCCGGAAATGGGTTCGATCAAGGCTGGGAGGTCATTGATAATGATGAAAGGCCGAGTTGTGGTTGAAGTCATGGCCGGTAAGGTTGTTTGGAAGGGCGCTGAGGCTATCGAGCACTACTGCTCTAGTCGGAAACGGCTGTTGCTGGGTGAGGGTCGTGGTGTGAGATTTGGCACCACTTGGATTGTGAGGGTTGGGTGCTCTCTTGAGTACTCAAAGCTCACTAAATGGGCTAGTAGGGTCTTATGATTTATGTAAATAATATTATATTGCAATTATAAAGTATTTACAAAGAGTGTAGACTATAAATAAAGAGAGAAGGGGAAGGGTAAAGATGAGACACTATTTGTAGAATTGAAGGATGGATCCTAGTCCTTCCTTTAATCTTCAGGTTGACAGATTAAAGAGTGATTAAGGTTCACTAGACCAGTTGTTTTATGGTCACTAACCCTGGGTTGTTCTTATGGTCACCAACCTTGGGTTATTCTATGGTCACCAACCTGGGTTGTTCTATGGTCACCAACCTTGGGTTATTATATGGTCACCAACCTATGAGTGTTCTACTTGGGGAAAGTAGAGGATCCTGAGAAGGGTGAAGGGTATTACTTACTTTTAATCAGGGAACAGATTAAAGTAGTGAAGTTATCACTAGTCTTATATTTATAAGACTCTTGATAATTACTTCAATAGAACCTTTAATTGTTCTTAAAAGTATTGTGTAATAAAAGCTTAGTGGGAAATCTCTGAAGGCTGAGAGAGGAGGAGTTTATATACTCTTCTCTCCAAACCTAACTGTGGTGATATTTGTTAATATCACTACTGTGGTTTAGGGCTTAAATGGTAATATTAATTATGGTTATGATTAATGCTACATAATTACATATACATGTTATGTAATTATGTAGTATAAGCATTTTAACTCTTGACACTGAGTTATGAGGTGTAATTAATGTTTTATTACATATTACATATGATTTTACATGTACGTGTATATGTAGTTAGTGTTTATATGTGTTTTATTACATGTTACATGTGTTTTATAAGCTGTATGTACATGTAATAAGTTTTGTAAGTTACAATCTATCTATTACAAGTTAGTTTTGGGTACATGTATATGTACTCAGGGCTGACATTCCCCACCCTCAAAGGAGGTCATTACTTCTTTTCAGAAGGTTTATGAGCTCTTCTTTGGGCTCTGAACTCTCGCAAGGTTGTTCTGTTATTAGGGACTTTGTCTGCTGCTAGCCATTCATCTTCGTCTGCACTCCTATTCTTGTATCTCACAAGATAGAGTGTAGTAGATTTACCGTTAACTTGTGTATCTCTTTGTTTTATTATATGTGAAAAAATCTTTTCTCCGTCAGTCTCAAACCTGATAGGAGTTTTCTTGGGTATTTCCCTGTCAGGAAATTTGCTCTTGTCAGAAGCGTGAAACTTCTTTATTAATGAGATTGGAAATACTGGATGCTTTCTCCCAAATTCCTCTGTCAATGCTACTTCTACTGCATTGCTTCCATGGAATTTTAGTATTACAAATGGTCCAACAAACT